ATGGATGCCCTTATGTAAAATATGAAATAAAAGAAGAATGATATGTCGTCAAGAAGTTTCACTACGTGCGTGTGTAGGTACACAATTACTTAATTTTTTTTGAAATAAGAGTAACAAACACAGTCCATCTGATTGTGAGTTAATACTGTGGTCCGTAGAAACCCGTATTTTAAGATTTAAAAAAAAAAACCGCGGATGCGTTTTCACCTCTGAGACTTAGACGGAAAATATCTTAATCAAGTTATAAAAGCTCTCATCACATATCACTGATATAGAAGCTTTAAGCTACAATTTCACACAAATATTCAGTATGATCGAACCGACCAAATTTTGCCGCAGCCATAGTACGCTCATAAATAGCCTAAGACTGGCATTGCCTCGTACCATCTCAGTATTTTATATATCCTTCTCCCGAAATTTATATCTTACGATACTTATATAAATAACTAAGCGGGTTAGATTAGTTAATAACTTATCTGTATCACTTTTTTTAATTCGACATGTGTAAAACCGGTGGAAACAAGCTCGGCTAGAAATGAATGACGGGCGAGATGCTAGTCATTTAAATGTAATTCGTGTTTAACCTGAAACGATCGTTATAACATTTCTAAATATCAGCTAATTACAACATACTAATTGACGCTGAGCAACTGATTGATAGGACACGTGCGTGAAAGTTTGTTCGGCGGTTGCGATAACGTCATAACGTCCCGCTTACTGTGCCTTCCATGACACATGAAATATAATGTAGGATCATATCTTTCGTTTTGGATCGATTCAGAGAAATACAAACTAGAATTGGCCCTGACTATAGCTCGTTTGCTTCTTGAATTTCTTCATTGTTTTTAATGTTGAGATCGTTTACTACGAGTGCCCATTTTTTTATGCAGGTCGCGAATCCTGATTTTTTAATAGGAACGAGGCATTCTATCTAAGTCCTACGGGTAAAAGCGCATCTGCATTTTGATTCTTAATTGAGGATAGATGTAGATGTCTATAGACTGCGTGCTAGTTTGTCACCCACATATTATTAAAAAAATCAGACAAATCTGTAAAAGCGAAAAGGCTAACAGCACTAACATCACGGAATATATACGAGACATTTTATGCTGAATATGAACTGAGATAAAAAATACGCATTTTGTTTTTTTTTTTCTACCTAGTAAGCTTTTAAAATGACGAGTACGAACTTTTCTCTATATATCACATGCGACATAATATGCATATGTATAAACTGATTAGGTATAGAGTTTCCAAATACATACATTTGTCAACGTGTTTCCCTTTGAATGATTCTTCTATTAGATAAATAGCCGTGATTGCTACAAGTTTTACTATTAAATTATAATTTTATTACCATATATTTGTGCTGATCAGGTGTTTAGACGGAAGTAATATAGAGATTGAATTTTGTGATAAAATTTATTATACGCATGCCAAACCAAAGTCTTATTCATAAAATTAAAAGCCATTGAACTACATATGTGACATAAAATTAATAATTTCACGGCTTAGTATGGGAGTGGCTAAGTATTTGGTTGCGGTACTGTAGGGTTGCGGGTTCGAATCCAAACGAACAATTTTATATAAAAAAGAAAGGGTTTTATTTATTTATATAGTTTTTTTATGGTATTATGTTTAAATATTTATTTAAATTTTAAATATTTAATAAAATTTTAAATATTTATTCATTAATATGTAACAAGTTGTGGCCAAACCACTCGAGAATAATATAAAAAATGTTTCTGAAAGTGATAATACTTTTATTTACAAGAAATTGACGTTCAAAAGGCGTTTAAAGACTACTTTTATTAATAGTATTTACCACTGTATTGTTAAACGTACGTCGTACATCCGAAGTATAATAATCTTTACTTTTGTAAAAAAAAAATTATATAAAATAAGTTTTTGGTTATTTGTCTTTCAATTGGAAATGTAATAAAATAAACTGAAAAATCCTAAAACTATTAGAAACTATGCATTCATTACTAGATCAATTTAGCCTTTTGTGGATATACCTACGAAGTAATATGTAAATGGTTCTAGATTTTTGTATTTACAGTTGACGAGTTGACGCGAATGTTTCTCTGCAAGCCCAAAACCTTCATTAATGCCCGTTTGTATGTCTGTGGTACACTTGTCAAATTTACGAGAATACGATGTAGGTACTCCATGCATCTAAGTTTGTCACCTATCTCATTGTATAACAATTAGATAGTATTTACGATCATTTCACGTGGTAGAACCATGCTGCCACTATATTTTGGGTGCAGCACGATGAGTGGTATAGTGAATGTAGAGAACCGGAGACCCCTTTTACTGTTAACGAGGCATTAAATTTTAGTCCTCGGGGGTGACTACGCAACTGCATTTTGATTCTTAATCGAGGATAGATATAGATGTCTATGGGTTGCAGCATCTACTTACCATCAGGTGGACTGTGTGCTCGTTTGTCACCCTTATTCTATAAAAATAGTTAGGGCACGGAAGTTTTTTTTTAATAGAATAAGGGTGACAAACAAGAATACAGTCCACCTGATGGTAAGTGGATGCTGTGGCCCATAGACATTTACATTTATCCTCGATTAAGAATCAAAACTCAAATGTGCTGTCATCTCTTCGTTTACAGAAAATAGGGTCTCCGGTTCTCTACACTCATCATACTGCTATTTGACGCTACTCCTTCCCCAAACATTCGTGCTACAACCATAATGAGTGAATTACCAAAATTGACACTTTAATTACAGAACACTAATTACAACTTAAAACCACACTAATAACAATACACAATAGTACTACTAATCACTTTAGTTCGCAGTTATATCGCTTCGAAGTATTCACTTGTATCGCCAATTCAACACTGACTTTTTTGCGCCCGAAGCAAATATGGGCAACCCTCCGAAAAGCGGGAGAGGGAGGTGGGGAATGCTCATAGCATACCACGCAGCCGGCTGCGTGGTTATGTGGAGACTTTTACCCACTAAACCCCACCTTTAAGGATTGGCTTACTGATCTGACGAGAGATCTTTAAGCCGTACACTGACGCGACCCTCCTTGGCAAAAAGGAGGGCTCAACTCAACACTGACCCGGGTCGCAGTCTATACCGACCTTATATAGGGCATCAGATAGTTGCAGAAACTTCTACAGACATCTACAATGTTCGAGTACATATCGGGCCCGACTGACTAGGTGTCGATAGTTCTAGAAAGTTCTTTCATGGAAATTTCTAGAAGGATCTTCACTCTCATAATTCTGCTACTCGATACTAGAAGGCGGTAGCGGTAATTAGTGTCGCCATGTACCAGGCATTAATTGTTGCGCTTAACAATAACGTAATCACAGTGTGTTCAGATGCGAAAAACACTGTACAATAGCTTTGAGCAAATATGAGCTTTGTCTGGAATTCGTAATCAGCACTCATACTTATGGTTAATTAGGTGACCTTTTGCGATATAGATAACCTACTAGTACCTAAATTTTTTGTATAATTTTTTAATAAATTTTTTTAAATTGTGTATTGTATATTTTTAGCTATTATATAAAGGCTTGTAGGAATTGTTGTGAGCACTAAGCACGCGGTGTTTACTTATTATTGAATGTGCACTTAGTTTATATCACTGTCTTAGAATTAAGCATATGTATTAGTGTAACATTTGTTGATGAACCAAATAAATAAATAAATAAATCCTATTTGCGATCTGATAATAGAATACTACAAAAACTACATAAAAGCAATATCTAAGTTAGAATCGTCTATATCCTAACCGGTACTCAGTAATAAAATTCTGCAATTTGCTTACCCAATACGTTTGTTTTCATCGCTCATTAAGTTAAAAATCACCTCGTATAGATAATTATCAGTATCGGATCGCGGCGCGTTTCCTTTCGCGTTTTATTTTAAGACTTTATTATGCGATTTATTAAAGCCGAAGAATGAAACGGCATACCTGTGCTCATTCGGTCCCTTTTGTAACTATATTTATTAAGTTGTTGGAGGATCCATATTTGTGCTTATATTGGATTTCGAACGTCTATTTTACAGCTTTTATGGTAGAGTAATCATTGTAAGAAATTATGTTGTCGGTCGTGATATATATCTTTATCGTGAATGTTCTCGTAGTTATGCTTGCATGCAGAATATGTAGATAATGGGTAAATTGTGAGTAAATTATTCTTAACTCATTTATAGTCTGTGTGGGCTGGCATAAAATAATTCTAACACCAAAAATTACAAGTGCCGGTTGGTCCAGGCTCAAATCGAATGGTATTTTATATATTTTTATAATTTACTTCGTTTTCCGGCCAACCCAATAGGGTGACAAACGAGCACACAGTCCACCTGATGGTAAGTGGTTGCTGCGGCCAATCACACCTTCACTCAAAATCAGATGCGTTGTCACCCGTGAGGATTAAAATGGAATGCCTCGTTTCTAGTAAAAAGGGTCTTCGGTTCTCTACACCTCTACTCACCATACGAAATACAGCAGCATTAAGCTACTATTTCACGCTGGTCTTCTGTCAGAGCGTGGTCCTATCCCGGTCGAGCCGACCCATTCGTGCTACAACTAGGTATAGGTACTACTAATATAACTGCAGCATGGCTCTACCACGTAAAAAAGTTTACTCAACACATTGGTTTTGGCACTGGTGCCTAAGGCAAAACCGGTAGATTTTATATCAATAAAACATTAACCAAGTACATGATGTGTCAATCCAAATCTATTTTGATTTGGATTCATCAGCTTTATTTACTTACATGGTGACGTTATAGACACTTGACACTGCAAGATAATGTTAAAAAAAATAAAAATGGAATAATAACTTAATTTTACTTTTATATTTTCTTGAGGATTATGGAACGAACGTGAAAATAAAGCATCTGCATCAATTATCAGTTATCACACATTTAAAACTTTAGTAAAATATACCTAAGATTAAAAGTCCAGTACATATCAAGAAATAATTACATAAAAATAAAAATAATATTTATTTTCAACAGATGCAAACGGGGAGCCACCAAAACTTAAATGTAACCTGCGAAAGCACAAACCGAATCGCAAACCTCGCACGCCATTCACTGCTCAGCAGCTGAGAGCGCTCGAAAGCAAGTTCGTCGATAAGCAGTATTTGAGCATCGCTGAACGAGCTGAATTCTCGTCGTCACTCGGACTATCTGAGACGCAGGTAATTAAACAATTATATACTGGGTTATTTTTTAAAGAGTAGTCAAATTTTAAACTTAAGTTGAAATGTATAAACAATTATATACCGTTATCGCAGTTTTAAAAATTTTGAAATTATCCCACATTGAATTTGATTTATGTGTAACAACGATTTTCCCTACTCGTACCGATCGACCTTTACGTATGGAAAATCAGTAAAAATACTGCATTATCACGCATTTTAAATTTACAGGATAAAAAGGACAGACTGTTTGAAATTTTTATTAATTTTTCTTCATCAATTGCCTATATTACTTATTCTGAAACTTCTATGCAAATTTGACTGGTTATTGTAAAATAACCCTGTATAATCTAGATTAAATTCTACAATTGTAAATTGATCGAAAATTAAACTCAAATTTCATTTAAATTCTTTGCCAGTTTCAACAGTGCTATCGATTCGAACTTTGAGTGGGTATTGACATAAATTAAGTAAACTGTTTTTATATACGTATATGTCTAATTATTTCGAATTATCTTATTATGATTATATTTGGTCGTATGTTTTGCAAAAGTGCGTTTATTTAAATTTTAAAAATTCGACTGCAACGGAAAAACAATTTTTACTTAAATTAATTAAAGTAACCTTTTTTAAGAGATATTAAACAATGATTTATATGTTAAAGGTATTTTCCCTTTAATTAGTATAATTTTCTCAATATTTAAATCGTTTTATGGAAGCACATATTCTAATTCTGATCTATCTTCATCATTAATATCGACAAATGTAATTTAAATATTTTTATTCAACAGGTCAAGATATGGTTCCAAAATCGGCGGGCGAAAGCGAAACGCGTTCAAGAGGCGGAGATTGAGAAACTCAAAATGGCGCAGTTTTCCCGCCATCCCCACCACCTGTACCCGCATCCCGCGCTCCAACAGTATTTCCACCCCCATCCCCTCATGGGAGGAGGGCGCCCTATGCCGCCCATGGGTTTGCCGCCGCATCTATCTATGGTACAATCCCCCGTATCGGGAACCTCCTCGCCGAGCACTCAAACGAGCGGCCAGCAATAATAAGTTTTAAATAACTGTTGTTATGCGGAACAAATGTATCACTGAAGTTTGTGTAAATATATTATAATGAATTTTGGTGGTGAAGTACCTATCACTTGAATGGCAAAAGGCATAATTTAAATGACGTGTATTTTTTAAGAATACATAAGTAATTTTTCTTTCTTTCTTTTAATTTATTTGTAAGAATCGACCAGTGCTATTTCATTGTATCGTAAATTCACATCATACCCGTGACACACAACTGAAAATTCATAAATACTAAAGTAACTCTCAAAAAGTCTGTACCTATGTATGTTAATAGAATGCATTTGATAGAAATGATAATGTGAATTTTGGATATTGTAAATTATTCTGTAAATATTAAAACAATTATTGTAAGCATCTGAAATATTACCGAAATTATTTCTATTAAGTTAAACATATTGGTTAAATGTTCATACAGCCAAATTTATACTCATATTCATTGTTTAAATGATTTTCAGTACAAACAAATAATAATGGTTAAAGATGAAATGTAGAAAATGAATTTTAATCGCTATATGTAAATAACTGTCCATACTATGTTATTTGTACTTGTGTAGTTAAAATATAATATAATATGACATTTTGAAGTTATTTTAATTATTGTCAATCCCAGACTTTAAGACGATCTTTTGGAATTTCGATGATAAAATATTAAACGCGGGATATTTTAATCATTTTTACTTATTGAAAGCCATTACTTGACCACAATCGCACTTGATGGAAAGTGGTGATGAAGTCCTAGATGTAAATTCGCTGGTGATGAATCCTTTTCACTCTTGCCTTAAAGACAAGAGTGAAAAGACTTCACCACGGCTTTAGTTTACATACGTACTAGAGCCATGCTGCAGTTATATTAGTAGTATAGTTGTAGCACGAATAGGTCGGCTCGACCGGGGAAGGACCACGCTCTCACAGAATACCAGCGTGAAATAGTAGCTTAATGCTGCTGTGTTTCGTATGGTGAGTGTAGAGAACCGGAGACCCTTTTTACTGGCAACGAGGCATTCCATCTTAGTTCACACGGGTGACAGCGCGTCTGCATTTTTATTCGTAATCGAGGATAGATGCAGATGTCTATGAGCCGCAGCAACCACTTACCATCAAGTGGACTGTGTGCTCGTTTGTCACCATATCCTATAAAAAAGACACCCAGAAAAAGATATTATAGTAATCCGATGTTAATTCACCTTAATGATTTCTTATATTTACGCGAGCTTTACGCATTGATTAAAACTACTTTTACGGATTTTATCGCGTTTAATTTTAATTTTAATTATTTTTATTTTTAATTCGCGACGTTTCGTGTGTTTTCCAGCACCCATGGTCACGGGGGACTAAGGTGACTGACGTCCCAATGCGATGACATTAAACCCGGAGTACCTTCAGCTTTTTTAATTATTTTTATGGTCCGATCTATGCAAAATGAACTGACTATGTCATGAGGTCTTGCAGTGGTATGCTTGGGTTTAGTTTTAATTTTATTGATTATAAGGTCCCAATCAGGTGGTAGTACCCAGCCTCCTTGTCTATTGAAATTAGGATGTTTTCTAATTTCAATAGCCTCACGTATCATCCTTGGTAGGAATTGGTGTTCTTACGCGAGGATTTGTGGTCTATCAAATCTGATGTAATGGTTGGGGCCGTCTAGGACATGATCACAAACTGCAGACTTCACGGAACGTTGATGTTTCACATCAGCTATATGTTGATGCACCTTGTTGTCCGATGGTAAACCATTATTTGTTGAAATCGTTATTATCCCGTTTTTGGTGCTCAGTTCGATTACGGTGAACAATTATCGTACAATAATAATAATGACCTCCAGTATGAATTTTGGCCTCGGCAGCCAGTGTAAACGGGGAGATTAGCTATCTGCCCGGGACAGGATCATAGTGCACGAGCAAGTGCGCACGCATAAGTGCACTCTCTATTTCGTCACTCCCGTACTCGAATGAGACGGCAACCCAATACGACCGGAGAGAGTTCGACGCAGGACTAATGTTTTATGTGCTTTCCCATCTATGTCATAGACATAAACTATTATAAATCTTGATAGAAAATCCCCATAACCGATTTTTTTAAATTAAATGTTAGTAATCTTATTAATTAACATTACTAACATTCCTTTAACCACTCCTGGTAAACTTGAAGTGCTTGTGTTAGGAGTGGTTCACGACAGTAGTCAAATGGCGGATTCGAACCCACGACCTTTTGAGTTCGCGATCGCTGCCCTGCCATTAGGCTACTGTCGCTTCAAATTTAGATTTTGCAATAAACCTGGATTCAAATCCGAAGCGTCATGGTAAGCAACCGTACTGATGTAATCACAACGTGACATTAAGATACTGAACAACAATTCCGAAATAAAAATTAACAAAATTAATATATACCTACTTACACTTATTTTTTCCAAAATTACAAAAGATCAGTTTTGTTTTGTTTTTTGTTGTTGTTACTTTTTTTTAGAAGTTAAAGCGACAAATAAACTTAGTCGTAAGTAGCTACGGCATTCCATGGACATCTTCAAACTTGGAAGGCTATGCGATGTCACTTCTGACGACCAAGTTGGAATGCCTCACAGCCTGTAATCTTTATAATTTTCAGACTCGAACTTAGCATCACAGCAGCACAGGAGTTGGTGGGCGGTAACATGTGGTAAAATAAAAAAAATTGTACAACCGACTTCAATACGACCGAATCAATGTATTCCAAGTCAATTATATACGCATTATTAAAGATAATTCAAAAACTACTGGTCAGATCTTGATTATATTTATTTATATGATCCCATAAGAAGCACTAGTTTTCAGAGAAAAAGAGAATCATCAAAGTCGGTTCACCGAGAGAAAAGTTATGAGGTAATACACAAAAAAAATCTACTCCGTACCCTTTTTAAAAGTTCGGCGACGCATCTGCAATTCCTCTCGAACGTTGATGTCTTCTTCACGTGTCTTTGAAAAAGGCACATGGAGGTGTCGGGCCTCGGGGTAAGCCCCCCATTACCCGTGCTGTCCTCGCGGTCCACCACTATGGACCGGTCCTGGGAGCCTTCTAATGGCATTGTAGGTGTCATACGGTTGTCGCAATCGGTAAATTTTTCGTAGTCGGTTATGACTATGAAAAAGGAGGTTATCTAATAAAGTCGGAGTTGGCCTTTCAGCGGCATTGAGGGTTGTTACTCGACTCTCTAATCGATATATAGAGGAAGGAGTTCTCTTGGATAGGGTCGCCCGTCCGGAGGGCGAGTGTGTAGCGGCGCAAAGTTGTTGAGGTGTATATGCGGCCCGTTGTCTGCACGGTCGAACAGTCCGCGCGCCAACCGGGCCACAAATTCCTGTATGGTGTCAATCTTCAGGTTGGCCGCTATGACGTCATTCCGGACGTAGCGACCCGCACCGACGATGGTTCTTAACGCCATATTTTGCTGGGCCTGCAGTCGCCGCCTCAGAGGCTCGCTCAGAAGCGCGTACCAGGCCGGAGCAGCATAGGTGATAATGGCTCTAATGTAGGTTTTGTATACTCGCACTTTGGTGTTAAGTGGTAGCTTGGATGCCAGGACCGGACGTAGCATCGCCCGCGCACATCGTGCTCTACGGACGACGAGGTCGACGTGTGCAGTCATGCGCAGCGCCCGGTCGATCCGGCACCCAAGGTAGGTCACGGCCTTCTCGTACGCGATCTGCTGGCCATTGATGGTTAGTTGAGGTGGTAGGTTCCTGAGGCGGCGAGTGAGCAGAGCGGTCGTCTTACCAACGTTGACGACCATCCTCCACTCATCTAGCCATGGTGGCAACAGGTCCAGGAGGCGTAGCATCCTGGCAGCGGCAATATGGGCTCTTCTGGAAGAGGTGAAATAAGCGCTATCGTCCGCATATAACGCCAATTCCACGTTGTCCTCCCATTCTTGCAGCCTGCCTGCCAGGGTAGGGATGTCGTTGGTATAAGCCGCGTACAGGACTGGAGACAAAGAGCTGCCCTGTGGAACGCCGGCTCTAATGGTTCTGGTTGCGGACTCGGCGCCCTCTACGCAGACGTAGAACTTCCTGTCTGCCAGGAAAGACGCCACTAGCCGCAACATAGCAGGAGGGACACTGGTCTGGTCTTCCAATTTAAAAAGTAATCCAGAATGCCACACCCTGTCGAACGCCTTCTCGATATCGAGAAAGACGCCCAACGTAGTGCGGCCACGGTTGTAATCGGCCGCAAGCAGGTGCAGCACTCTGGTGAGCTGTGTTGCTGTAGAGTGACCCCTCCTGAATCCGTGCTGCTCCGCCCGAAGTTGGATGCACGGGCGGAGGCGTCTTAGCAACAATCTTTCAAGCAGTTTAGCTATGTGTGGTAGCAGCGTGATCGGCCTGTAGCTGGCAGCTCTACGCCTGTCCTTCCCGGGTTTCGGCAAGACGATTACTTTGCCTTTCTTCCAGTCCTCCGGGAAGTGGGATGTCCGCGGGCGACGACAGGAACTCCTGTACGCGACTCTCCTTTTGGGCATGAAGCTCCAAGAACTCCGCACTTGCTGGGTTCGGCATAAATTGCTCCTCGAAGTGCTCGACTAGGATATCCGCTCTACCCTTGGCATCGTAACGACGTTCGCCCGCGTTGTTGGTCAGCGGGCAAACGGGAGGTTTGGCTTTAGTTAAGTGCCGGTTCAGTTTGTAGAGCGACGCATCGTGCTCTTCCGCCTTCCATATGCGCCGCTCCCAGGCATCTCCTCTGTGTGCCTGGACTGCAACCGACAGTTCCTCCGACAAGGTGTTCAGTTTCGTTTTGATTCTCGGGCAGCGAGTACGCGCCCAGAGTATCCTTAGGGCCCTTTTTCTCTTAATCTGCACGCAGATGTGTTGCGGCAGATCATCCCTTTTTGGTGGACATCGGGACGATCGTAGAGGCAGCGTTGAGGGCCTCTTGTATCGCCTTTGTCATATTTGCGGCTGCGGCCTCTACGTCGTCCGCTGTGTTCAAGGGGTGGTGTGCTG